TCTATTAAAAATTGAAAAAAATTATATTTGGTTATTGGATTAATACTAATAAGAATGCAATAAATCTGATTTCTAATAATATATCTTTTAGATATAATTTTTGTTTTCTTTTAAAAAGTTGACTAAATCTATGTTATTAAAAAGAAAATATTTACAGATTTTTTTATTATTGTTACAGCATTTCAAAAGAAGAGGAGAAGTATCTTCCATTTTTGAGAATTTACATCAGTTAAAATGTCTATTGTTTGTTATATTAGTATATTTTTAGAAGAATATATTATTTAGAGATAAGGGAGAAATGCTTTGCTGCTAATTTATTAAGTGCAGCTTGCATAAACTTCTTATTAATAGCATTCCTACTTTTTTTTAAATTTGAATTTCTAGCTGTATATTAGCAATGACTTTTTACTAAATTAGCATTCCTTTATTTTTAATTACTTTTAGAAAGTTTAGTTACTGTAAGTTTATGGGACTAATTTTAAAAAAAATGAACAATTGTTTTCTTGATTTGTACAAAATATATATTTTTGTATAGCTTTGTTTTGAAATTCTTTAGTGCTAAAGATGCTAATTAATTAATGATGAGCAAATTTTTCAATGTTAACTAGCTGTTGTGTTGTTAAATGTTGGCAAAATAATGCTAATTTTTTTTTCTCCTGTATACGAAACAAAAAACATTCCAAAAAAAATAAATTATATATCTATATACATACATATATTTAGCAATAGAATGAGACAAATCATATTAAACTGTTGCAAAGTTAAATTTTATATTAATTTTATAATCTGTTGATTATGTGAATCATGTTGTTTAATTTGATGCACGCTGGCTTACTGTATCGGTAGAGTATGAGTATAGCGTACCTATATTTTCATATATCGATGTAAGGCGTAAATATAAGTGATCAGTATCACACAAACATTTCAGTTTTCATTCAAGCTGTAGTAAAATTTTAAATCTTGGGAAAAAATTCTATTTTGAATTGTTATTTATAAACACCAGCCAGAAATGAATTATTTCACATCAATAATTTACATTCAAATAGTGTGACAGGGACCATTAAAATTTTAAAAAAATTACTAAAATTTTGCTACAGTTTGTTTAAATAATCATTTATAATAATTTAATTTTCACATAAAATCATGTACCTAGTCATGATTTGCTTTTTTTGCAAGAAAGACATTTGTTTGCACAAAATCAAAAATTTTATCCTAGCATTCCAATTTAAAAAATGTATACAGTTTTAGTATGTTATTTTGACTATAAAATATCTGATGTAACTTGCTTATGTAGCAGAAGAGTGAAACATTTGTGAACAATTCAACTAAAAGCACTTCTGTCATTTACAGTCATAGAGATGTTTATCATAGCCTTGTGCCTTAAATGTGTCTATTGTATTTTTATTTGGAAATATTCATTGGAACAATACATGTTTTGAACCATTGTACTAGGCATTAACAACTAGTCTCAATCAGATTTACAAATGTTTAAACTAAATCTGATATTGGTATCATGAACTGTACTATTTGTAATTATAATAAAATCTTGTTGAAAAACCTTTTGTTCATTAATTATTATTAACATATAAATTTGGCTAAATATACCAGATATTAAAGTTTAAATCTTAATGTAAATATGCTGAGAGTTACTCGATTACATGTGATCCATCAGGTCCACATTTAAAAAATTAGAATTTTGAGGAACAATAAGACATTACTTTTTGCAAAAAAGTTTGAAAATTTTTCAAGTAATTTAAATCCAATGACATTGGAGTGTAAAGAAATGATCTTCACTTGCTCAGTTCAATAAAAGATTTAAAGTTATAAGTCAAAAACTAATCATTGATTTTATAAATACTGCCAAGAATTAATACAGTAGCTGTATTATTCTCATTTTTCTTTGTCAATATGCTACTACAAAGAGTAGATGTGGAGAGACCCAGATCTTTTGTTCTAGATCTGAATAGTTGTATTCAATTTTCAAAAATAATTTGAAGTAAAATGAATCTGATTTTTAACCTAAAGACATTTGTATAAAAATTTTGAGACTTTCAACATCTTGTATAGAACAACAAAGAAATTCTATATTTTCTTGTCGAAGAAGCAGGAAGGATGCATTTGACGTTAGTTGAAACTGAGACAGCGGACCCATTATCTCCTGAGAACTGTATCGTGACTCCGACGACTTCTAATAGGACCGAAAAAGGGATGTTGCTTTGAAAGATTGATTTAAAAAAGGCCTTGAAATGCAAGCGAAGAAAATGAAAAAAACCTCTTGTAATATAAAATTTCATAACCTTCAGTTGAACAGAATGTAAGAATTCTATCTGTGAATCCGGACATTTTATCAGGGATTTCGTACTTTTATAGTCAATACTGGTAATTTCTAAGAGTTACCTGGATTTGTTTCATTCTTCCTCTTGGCTTATATATTTTATTCTTCATGTGAATAAAAAGACGTATTTTAGTATAGTTAATTGAATAATTCAATAAGTAGTTTCTCCAAGAATAAATAATGCATCCTTCTTATTACTTACTCTCTATATACAGTAGACCCCCCTATAATACAGTAGATACGTTCCGTGTTATATGAATTCCGTGTTGTACGAGTCACTTAAATACATGAGCCAATCACAGCCCGGCACTTGTGCAGTTTAGGAGCTACGGCTGTTTGAAAGGTTTTCTTCCATAAAATTAATCGATTCTAGACTAATTTGACTCGAACATTTCCAAATCACGTATAATTTTTTGGGAATAATGCATATAAACTATGCTATAAACAAAAAAACTGTAGGATTACTTACCGAGTGCGTACCGTTCGAAGACGCCATTGCTTAAGCTTGTTTTCGTCGCGGACGCGTTTCCTGATAAGTTATTCTGATGACTAAAGACAAAATTTTAGATAACGTAAAAATTATAAAATTACAGTATTAGACTTACAGTACGTAATTTATATACTGTACAGACGATAGTAAACTTAACTTTCCCGTCTAAACTCTCCGTATATACGAATGGTGCTGGACGGCGACTATTGGTCCGGATTAGACCACTACAATCAGTCTCATTCTTTTACCGTGTTATACGAGTCTCTTTTAGTGTGTTATACGAACACGATCGCAATTTTTTCGCCGTGTTATACGAATCCGTGTTACGTGAACCCGTGTTAAGGAGGGTCTACTGTATATTCTTGATATAGCTTGATACATGATTTTAATGATCTGAATTAAGATTAACAATTTAATCAGTTTATTACAACATTAATACACTATATATTTTTATAACAGAGATTATATCAGAAGAAGTTATGAATGTCTGTCCAAATGATACACAAAGATGTGATAATATTTGTAAGAACCAAGGAGCTGCAGGAGGATATTGTAGATTTTCTGAGACATTTTCAATTTCATATTGTCATACACTTTTGTCTTCGTCAGAAAGTGTAGCGTGTCTGAAGATTTAATTGAAATCATTGAAAGAAATGAAAAATTGACATAAGTTTTCATTTTAAAAATATATTTTTTCTTTTGTATCTAAAATATGTAGGTGTATATAAATGAAATTTGATATTAGCGTATTTCTAATTTGTTATAAATCTAAATAAATATTCGAAAGTGTACTGTAATTATTACAGTATTTTAATTCCGTTTTCATTTTCTTATTTTTATTTTTTATTTTTTTACTCTATTTGACCTGTGGACACTGAGTGAACCTTCTTGCCAGGATGATCATTGGGTTCGGCCATGGCCACAGAAAAGTGAAATAGTCTCATGTAAGAAAAGTGAAATGGTCTCATAACAAGGAAAAGTATTGGAATCGTCTCAAATTTGACCCTCAGAGTTTTTGTAAATCTCTACGTTTTGAGACCTCCTGAACCCCCAAAAAGTAAAAACACGGCAAAAAATTCAGTCGATATGTATGTATGTATGTATGAGTGCGTGTGTTGGTGTCTATTTCGTTTAATATCTCAGGATGGGGTGAAGATAAAGAAACTAAATTTGGCACAGCAGTTTGTGTACAAGAGGCATTGATGCTATTAAATTTTGATGGTTAAAGGTCGAGGGGTGAGGAGATAGAGAGGGTCATGTTCTATACCATAGGCTTACCATAATATTTTTTTCTCAAACCGGGAAAATTCTGAGATAATACCCACAAAAAAAATAAAGCCTACTGGGGTAAGTAAGTAATGTACCTATAATTGTAAAGGCTAAATAAAGAAGTTAACAAAAAAAAACAACGTGTTAAAATCAACTTTTAATAACTGAACTGAACATACCTTATTGTTAAAAAGTCATTAATATTTATCATTAATGAGAAGTTTCTTTAAAAATTCTTTGTCACTTGAATCGGTACCTTTAATAATAGCAGATGAAATTCGATCTAATAATCTGATGTCTTACATCAGGAGTGACAGTAGTGACTCCCCTCCAAGTAAAAAAAAGTCACTGACTGACTACATATACAGGAATCAGAGAGACCTAGATTAATTAAAACACTAAAACAGTTCTCTTTATTTATCCTATTTAACAATGCATTTCGGATTGGTAGTTTTCCAATCCCTCTTCGGTCTCACGGCTTCGGTGTCCGAGATTGTTGTCTACAACATAACAAAAGGTTAGTTTGTCTTAATATACTTTTGTTATCCACAATTTGTACACATCCTAATAGTGTAGTTTCTACATATTGTACACTTACTGGCATGTTTTATTTGTCTATTTTTGATGGGAAATGCAACGCTTCTTCCAATTCCCACACAATTATTAACTTCTTATTACCTCTTAGAAGAATTTTAACATTTGATATTGTGGTTCATAACATGACACAGTTCAAAATGTGAAAAATAAAGAAAATGAAAAAAAAAATTCAATGTGAGCATTTGCTGTTATAACTATTTTCGGATTATTCTGCATGACATCCAGCATTAAAATTAAACAATGCAGTAATATGAGGGCAATTATCGCGACTGATTTAAAATGTTTCTTCTCTATGAAAGACACCGCAAAATCACTATGAAGATATTTATTTAAATTTATAACAAATTACAAATATGTTGCATATAATGTTGCATTGCTACAGTCTTACAAATTTTAGATATAAAAAAACAAAATAGATTTTTTTAAATGAAAAATAAAGCGAATTTTTTGTATTTTTCTATTAAATCTTGAAACAAGTAACCTTCTAACGTAAACAAGCACATCTTAACTTCCTAGGTCCTGTACAAAATCCTCCTCTGCTACCGATTTTCCGACAATATGCATTACATCGTCGATCAGATGGACAGCCGCGATCAGCTTCCACAGGCACCTCTGTTATACAAATTCATTAATATTATAATAAACTGTTTCTATTGTTAATCCTAATTTAGATTTATAAATTCTATATTAAGAAATATAAAGAATACATAAAGGAACATAAAAGAAACGAATTATTTTTTTCTTGGAGAGGAAACGTATTAAAAAACGTCATTTCCACCTACCTAGAGTACAAAATACAAAAGCTAAGAGGAAGAATAAAACAATGGCTTTCATGATTTTCGTCTTTTAGAAAGTTAGGCTTTGATATTTATCTGTAAAGAAAAAAAAACATGAAATGTATTAGCAAACTTTACTATTATTATTATTACTTAGTCATTTCTTATGTATGCATATACACAAATTTATTTATCGTATTATTTTATTTAAAATCACTTATATAAAAGAATTATTTTTAAATCTGTACTCAATATAGTCTTTTACTATAAATTAATTTTAATGTTTAATCGAAATAAACATTATTTAACAATTACTACAATTATTGTTTATGTGAATTTTTGTATTTTCTATAAGCAAATTATGTAAAAAACTTACCTGAACTGAAGAGATTGTTGATTGCTGAGAATGAAGGCATTTATAATAGTAAGTCACGTGGCTGTATTGACTTCATATTTTGTAATCTACTGTACTTTCTACGATATGAAAGTTATTTCATTTCCAAAAATGTTTATTTTTATGCAAAAGATTGCACAATTGTTTTTCTTTAGTTTACATAAATTATTACTCCAATATATTTCTGTGTAAGTTAGTTTCGCAAGAGTTTTATTCATTTGAATCTTGCGAAAAATCCTTAATTTAAATATACGGAACTGCCGATTATTAATGCACGGGTATACACGGGAACCCGGAAAACATGGATAAACTAAAATATCCCTTAAACTATAAACTATTCAAAGGTTTTAAATAAACTGACTGTATACAGTTGAACTCCTTTGCAAAGCGGTGCAATTATGACTCCAAGTTTCATAAGCTGAAATGTATAATTAGTCAATAAACGTAAAATGAAAAAAAAATATCGTGTAGAAATTTAAATTTTACATTTTTTTTTCAAATTACTGTATTTGAATTTTAAGACTAAAAGGTTATTTTTTTCAAATCTGCTGTTTATAGCCTACTGCAAAATGATATTTTGAAGTAGGCAAGTACAAAGATAGTTTGTCGTTTTACTGTAATTCTAATATTTTGACGATGTCCGGATAATCGGTAGTTCGGTGTAGATGTTTTTTCGTTTTTGGTTGTTTTTTCCCCGTACTAAGAAGGCCTTTCGTTTCGTACCCTAGCAAGAATTCGAACAGGCCCACAGAAAAGGTGTCTGTAATGGCGATGGATGAGGCCCGACTATCCGTTCCGGATAGTCGGGCCCCATCCATCCTGTGAGAAACTTCCTCAGCCAGCCTGTGAAGAATTTGCCTGAAGTTGCTTGGCCGGTTCGATCCGGTTCCCAGAGAAGTAGGTTGATATTTTTACTGTTTTAGCCATCACTTACACCATGGTTGCAAATAACCATATTTCAGCAAGGTAGTGTTTGGCCACACACTGTTACGGTTTCCCACGAATGTCTCTGTCATGTTGGTACGATTTCTTGGCGCACCCGCTGTCCAGATTTCTGGCCCATCCAGCATTTCCGACCTCAGACGGTCCCTGAATCACATTATTGGTAATGATTTCGAGTGTAGTCTTTTGGAAACTTTGATAATGGCGCTGTTGATTTTAGCACGTCATACAATGGAAAACTGTAAAGTAATATCTATGTTATACTATATAACATCATAATTAAATTTTTATAAAAATTCTCCATTCTCGTGGAACAAATACTAATGCATTTGAAAGAAATTTTGTACAACCAATTACCTCTAATCATTAACACGTACCAATAAAAATTGCAAAAATACTGATTAGAAACAAGGCTTCTCATTAATGCCAACAATTTTTGTGGTATGTTTTCGAGGCCCCGTAAATATGATGAAGGCCCAAATGCCTTGTTGGTCCTCAGCAATAATGTTTAATTAATAAATATTAAACTAAAGATAAAATTAATTTACTTATTAGCTGATACTAAATTTTTATCTGAATATTATAATTACCTTTAAATATACAGTAATTTAATGTTTATTCCAGCTAATTTTTTATTATAATTATTATTACAATCACGATTGCAACTAAAAGAAATGTTTTAAGAAACTTGGAGGGAATTCCAAATGCATTTTTCTGGTAAATTGGACGGATTGTGTAAATAATTTTAACAAGAAAAACTTGTTTGTTTTTTTTTAAATATGTAAAATTCCCGCTTTGTTGAAGGATTTTAAATCAGTAAACTCGAGTATAATTGAGATTATCGTATTAATACAATAATTTCTTTTATTTAAATGGAAAATACTTCTTTCGAATAACAGTAAGTCGTATTAGTTAGTGTAGGCTACCTATTAATTCTTTCTCTGTCATTTCGTTTATATTAATATTTTTTGAACAGTTACTTAACATGTAACAAGTTAATCTAACCTAACCTATTGTGGTTAATTGCTGCATCTGCTCATTTTGCTTCCTTCAAATATTTCTTTATGCAATTGACGTTTTCGGTGCAATTACATAAAAATCAATATGAAAAAAAAAATTTTTAATTAAATTAAAATTTAACATCATTTTTGAAAAATCCACAAATTAACACAATTTTTTTATTTTTCACTTACAAATTTAATATGTAAATTACCGATCACTATAGAATGGCTAGTTTAAATATTGTAGAAATGTACCATTCAATAAAATGGGAAATGATAGAGAATAAATCTAATAATTTAAAAGTAAAAGACTATATAATTGATCTAATAGAATATGCTTATGGAAGTAATTATTTCCATACAGATAACAAATTTTATACGCAGGAATCAGGAATAATCATGGGGTCCGTAATAGGGCCAACGTTAGCCGAATTTATAACGCCTCCGTTATAAATTCGGTTAATGTTGGCGAGGTTATAGGTAATGATATAAATAGATCGAACAATTATTTATTTTGATATCGTCACAATGCTGGTCTGCAATTTTTAATTAATTTAATTTAAAATATATACTCTCCACTTGAAATTAGCAGTGTCTTGCCCCTGTACAACATACTTTTCCTGCTAGCAATATATCGTGACCGCCATCTATCTACCTCATTTCAGAGGAAAAATTTTTAATTGAAGTAACGTGACTTTCGGTGCATACCGGAAGTTTATTAAACTTTTCATATTTCATCTCGACTTATATCTATCTACTCCATTTTCTAGATTAAAGAAGGACAGACAAACGACGACAGTAGGAATTTATAGGTGCACAACTTTTTCAATTTGCAGCCCAAAAACTATTGTAAAAATAGTTAAAATTTACAGAAAACTGTAAAGATAAAATTAAGATAATTTTAAGGGGAAAAGAATGTACATCAAGATATGTTATAGATTTTAAGAGCATTTTAATAATATTGTAGTATTTTATAATTGTATATTTTTAGACAACAGAAGAGAGGTTTATAATCGAAACGCGTCTTGGCAATAAATGTAAAATATAATATTTAATAAAGTGTATGTANACTTTTTCACAAAAAAAAAATATCGTCTGCTTACAAAATAACGAAACTGAGCGTGCGCGAAGTGACAGTATCGTCTGGTAAAGTAAATACGAGTAAGTTCAAACTTTTATATTTATTTATTCGGAAAATAATAATAAATGTAGCCGCTGTGATAATTGGGCGCATTGTTCTAGTGCCAATATTGGGAAGAAAACGAGAGTTTAACCATTTTAATTTGTCCTTCTTGTATAATATATATAATAATAATATCCCCATCTTACTCCATGGGTGAGTCAAGATGGCGCATTTACATATACAGTCGATCCCTATAACATTGTTGATAATTCCGTTTTATATGAATTCCTTGTTGTACGAGTCACTTAGATTTTACAAATACGTGAGCAGTTCACAGCCCGGCACACGTATTTGTAAAATAATATTGTATATTTTTAGACAACAGAAGAGAGGTTTATAATCGAAACGCGTCTTGTCAATAAATGTAAAATATAATATTTAATAAAGTGTATGTATTGATAGGCTAGTGCCTAATTATATCACTTCATTGTGTGCAAGAGAAAATAACAAAGAAACGGCACGGTTTCATTAAAAGGAAAAATTAAATGTAAATTTGAGACGTTCATTTCTCCCACACTCGATTTTTGAAAATGCAAAGACCCCAAAATTTTTTTTTTGTCAGAAACGCCAAAGGCGAAACGAATCCACATTAAAAGTGATTACGTATAGGAAAGTAGGGAAAACAAATACTTCGTAAAAGTTTATGTTGTACAGTGAAACGTATTTTTCATCCTCACATATTTCATAAATAACAAAAATTGAGAGTCTAAGTTTTGTGATTTTCTAATAAAATAAAAAGAACTAGATAAAACATGTTGAGGCAATAAGAGAGAGAATATCATCAATTGTCATTAATATGCAAGAAAATTAAAACTGTTTGTATTTTGACTGAAAAACAGACGTAAAGGATTGTTTATAATATACCGAATTATTTTTCCAGCCAAGATTTTACAACGTTTCAGTTTCTAACAAGTTAGATACTACGATCTCAGTTTTGGATCCGTTTCAAATCGATCCAAGCGTTGAAAGCGTGTTAAGTATAAAAGAGTAATTGTTTTTACACTAAAAAAAATTAGAATATAACTTTCGCTACTGAAACTTTTCTCAGTTGTTAACTTTCTTTATACACTACATGTGTTAAATAAGTTTTCGTTTCCAAATTTATGAAAATATATTTTCCATTTATACTATAAAACATTTAGTCAAAAAGTAGGGCTTGGATTGATTGCCTTATGGCAACGCCACACGAGTGCAACCTGCAAAGAGGGATAAATAATTAGATCAACACGAATAAACTTTTATTTAGTTATTTCATTTCTCCAGGTGCAGTGGATTGTTTAAAAATATGAATAACCAATGAACGTATTGGAAAAATGAAAACAATTAGATGCGAGGTTAATTTTATAACGGTGGCCAAAAGACATGGAATCAAATTTTCCTAACGATGAACATAGTTTAAATAAGTTTATATTTAGTTGTATTAAAAATTTACGAAATTGTTTTTTCATTCTTTCAAGTTATTTGCTGTAACAAAAAGTAGAGAAGATTTAGTTGTACACCAAATCCTATGGAGATTTCACCATCCCATATTCTCTGAAATTGTTTTGCGTTCCTTCGCTAATTTTCAATGTCTTATTGATTATTGTATACCGATCCGGTCGATGTCTGCCCCTTCTCTTTTGGTTAAAATCACGAAAGAACTTAATAAAATATAGACCTAACTCGTCTTAAATATATTCTGTAACTTACCTTTTACCAGCAACTTTAATGTTGTTAGGTTGTGATTGGGACTTCCCTTATTAAATTCAAATCATATAATTAGTAATTACCTATCCACTCATTATGTTTGTATTATGATCTAAATTACAAATTAAACCATAAATAAATATTAAATTTGAAAAACGAATTTTATTTATTAAAATATATTAAATATTTAATAAGATAAATTCAGATTTACTTTATATAATTTATAAAGAATTATTATAGACTAATTATCTAAATAGTTTACT